ATTGATAATACTATCTTTAACAGACTGATAACGTATGAAGGCTCTGAAGAGGCTAAATAATTCAGAAAGTCAAAATAAAACCTCTCAACATTGCCAAAAAAACTCAATTATAAAACTTAACATTCAAAGGCAAAAACAGGATCCATTACAATAAACAACCCAGAGTTACTGAATGAAAACTTCCTGATAGCATGGCGGCTAGCTGATTACTGCTAGCTCTGATTGGCTGTTTCTGACTGAGCGGAGTAATTATGCAGATCAGGGAGGAGATCGATTATTTTTTTAGAGATTATCTGTCTCATGTTAGGACAGCGGAAGTTTTAATACGTATGTAAAATGTATTTTTTTTTAAGTTAGATGTTGCAGCTCTAAGCAGAGGTTCGGTGTGAGAGTTCACTGCTGGGTGGAGGTTGAGCGGCTCCGTCTGTGAAATATTACCACCAGTAACGGCGGTCCAACAGCTGGAGCAGAACCAGAACCAGCGGCTTACACTGCCAGCTTGAAGACTTGAATTATTTTTAGGTTTATTTGTTTAGCTTTCTGACGGTGATGCTAGTCCGGGTGAGTGTTGGTAGTTACTGCTTTACTTGCTGACTGATCGCTCCAGAAGTCTTTTTTCTCCTGCATTGAGCCTCGATGTTGCCAAACTCCGTTCAGTGCTCGTTTTTCCAAAGCAAACGTTCCCATTCACTCTGAGCGTCAACGTTTCTCACCACATCGCTTAGGGTTTGTTGCTGCGCGCTTGCGCAGTGTGAAGGGAAGAGGAGACCAGCTGCAGGCTGAGAAGTGAGATACAGCTGATCGGTTTTGGTGATCGGCGATCACCGATCATACACTTTTTCACGGAAACCTGCCGATTATGATCTGTGGCCGATCGATCGGTACACCTCTAGAATTATCAATGTCATGACCATTGACTATTACTAATAACGATTTCCAGGCATATTGTAAATTTAATCTGCAGTGATGTGAAAATCATTTCCCAGATGAAAGCTGAATTAATCAACCAACAATTATTCCTTTGCGTTTCATCTATTGAAACATGTAAACTAACCACCATTGATCCTGATCTTAATTAGATCTAATAATGAATATTATTAATATTTATGCCACCAACATTATTCCCACCACGATGAGCTAAAATCACTATTATGGGTTAATTATTATGTAACACGGATCAGGCTGATAACCAATAGTACCTGCTTTTACAGTATTATATCAATAACATTACATTATTTAACTTCAATTATACAACCGAATAAAACATTATTTTATCATTTTTACCCCGATGAGTTCAAACCTGATCTCTTGACCTTTGTTTTCCCCATGACTTCCTTCTCACAACCCACTTTCCTGTCAGTGAAATGCTTAACATGCTCCCAGGAAGGGGTCTGTCTGGACCGGACCCGGTTCTGTTGTTCTGGAGGACTGCACTGTCTTTGCTCTCGTTTCAGGATACACAGGGTCTGCAAGTAAACTGTGGTTGTCGTAGCAACAAGGAGAGGAAACAGGGGCAGAGGGCACTGGCTCACGCACCTGGTCCGGTTCCATAGGTGAGCGCTGGCGCTTTGTTCTTGAAACACTTCCTGTTTGGTGCATCAAGTCTTTTCAAGTCCAAGTCAAGTCCAAAGTCTTATTTCATGATGTCTAAAGTTACTAAACTAGTGAGTCAAATCGGTTCCAAGTCACATCTCTCAAGTTGTGATGAGCTCTTTGATAAAACCGCGGTAATTAATTCGATACTGTGCTCAGGAATCCATCTTGAGCTGAAAACTTGTTTAATCCGGGTGAGTGTTGGTAGTTACTGCTTTACTAGAAACGATGCAGATGAAAGAAGTTAGATTTTGAAATTAAATTAATTTTCTGAAATTTTAACTTAAAGTCATGTCTAAACTGTTTCCTGTTTTGCATTAATTGCTTGCCATACACATCCTGTAAATGTTGGCCCTTTAGGGCTTCCATACTTTCTGGGCTTGAAGTTATTTACAATGTTTTATCTTTTACTGTCTTCATGGCGCTGCAATAAACATGTGTATAGTACCTGCTATATTATTAGCAGGTACTAGCCAAACCGAGCGAAAACACAAACAAAACCGTGTTGAGCTCACCTCGGGTACTCCTCCAAACTTGGCCCGTCGGAAAGCGTCCGGCGTGGGGACAGGACCCACACCGAGCCCCGCCAGCAGCCGGCAGAGAGCTCCGATCACCCGCCTCACTTCCACACTCCCAGCCGCCTTGCTGCGCTGCATTTCGGCCCCGGAATCCACGGAAACACAGAGCCGGACCCACAAACGCTACCGAACCACAGACACTACCGGCTCCGCAGAGCATCAGAACCATTTGGCATCCAGAATTCCTTCCTGATTTCTGTTCGCAGTTGGCAAAAACCGTAAAATACCGCCACCTAGTGGTATGGAGTGATGATAGATAGATAGATAGATAGATAGATAGATAGATAGATAGATAGATAGATAGATAGATAGATAGATAGATAGATAGATAGAGTTACTATTTGTCCCAAAACTTAACTTNAGAANTAAAAAAAAATAAAAAATGATCAAAACAAAAGTGAACCCAACTTAAATAGTCACCTGATGCACCGTGGATTCTGGTTTACGCAGCACAAAAGGATCAAAAAGTCGAGATGCAGTTCTTTGGTTATTTTTTTTCACAGTTCAGGCAAAAAGGTTACAGGCTTCACAGGATTCTGCTTCTGCTCTGATTCCTGCACCTGTTCTCTGACTGATGAGACTTCTTCTTCTTCTTCTTCTTCTTCTTCTTCTTCTTCTTCTGATTTTATTGGCGGGTGACATCTAACGTTAAGATGTATTATCGCCATCTACTATGCTGGAGTGTGGACCAGAGTATCTCCCTTTAATCTAAATTCTCATAAATAATCCTGTTTCCTTCAAAAAATTAATAACTGCTTTATTTATTTTATGTTTATTTAATATCTTATTTAATTTTAATGTCTATATCATATGTCATAATTTCTCTCTACTTGATGCATATTTTTCACAATGAATTATTACATGTTCTACTGTT